TCCTCCCAGTTTGGTTCATTCTGGCGGTTTTTCGCTCTTGTTGCTCCCAAATTGGTGTACATAGCCTTATATTCAATTTAGTACCACTTTGATTTGGATACATGTTGTGCTGTCACCATCGTGTTCATATCTCAAGCCAACTTTTGGGGTGCTGCCATAACACGATCTGTATCTCAAACCACAACCTTTTTCAAACAGGCATGGCCAGATTTATTGAAATTCTAATTGTTATTCTGTAGTATACCACTTGCTTTATATAGTGCTACCATAGTTGGTATCATCTGTAGCATAATCGCTGAGACTTCCCAACTAATGTGGGTGTACTACTGACAATCATTTCTACTTCTAGCTTGGTACTGTAAGAAGGCCTAGAACCTTGACTTATAACACACCAGCATGGTACCCATTACTGAAGTTAGTAATGTATAATATGATACCTAAAGCAACTTCTAATCTTGTATAGCACCAGAGGTGTTCCAAACCTAGTTAGGCCAATGCTTTATCACAGATCTTTACCATATTCACCACATTACCCATTACTCCAGTTTTGTTATAACTAGTATTAAACTTCTAATCAAGATCCCCAGACCGCCTAGGGGTTGTTGGTGCTACTCTGCTAATTGTGGATTTACATGCACAATCTATTTTGCTCCAAAACCTTCTGCAATGATGCCATCACACATAAAGCCAACTCTCTATGGCTAGATCTCCTTCCGGGAATTCTTATTCTAGATTCGTACTTCACTTGGACTTTCACGAGGCTCTGTGTTCGATTTTTTGGCTCCTTTAGGTTACAGAGAATTTTTTGCCTCCAGCCTAACTCGAACTGTGGACCTTGACTTAACTTCTGTGGGGGTTTGGCAACTTAACCAATAAGCTATAGGGCCCAAACCCTTACCTTTATTATTAATTAATTTAATATTCAAATTTAATATTGCAATAAACCTGAATAATATAATAAATTCATATTAATAAATTTAGTTTCAAACTTTATATACTGTCTATTTGTATAAATATTGAATGTTTCTTATTATAAGCATGACTTCAAGAACAAAATTATCTTTCTCCAAGATTTATAAACTTTTTAAAATTGAAACTTTAAATCTACATAATTTACAAATTAGCTTATAACAAAAATAAAATACTATAGTAATTGTAAAGTTGATTGTTTGGATATCTAGTTAGTTTGAGATAGTTATTATTACAAAACTTGTTTTAAATATAAAGAGAGTTATAATCAAAAAAGAAATTTAAATATTCAAACAATAATTACAAATTTAGTCAATCATGCTGAATCAGCTGACTATGTTGAATTAACTAATTATGCTGAATTAATCAATTATGTCAAAATAATTAATCATGTTAAACCAATTAATTATATTGAATTGAATGATCATGTTAAAATCATTAGCCAAAAAACAAACCAAATAAATAATATTAAATATGTCAAAATTAATTATACTGAGATAGGCAACTTTATTGAAAACTAAAAGTTAACAAAAAATATGAATATTGATAATGAAGCTAATATAATCTACAAGACATAATTTTTAGTAAAAATAAATATAAATATTTAAAATAAGACAGCAAAAAAAATTATTGAATTTATTATTATTGAAGTTGAAAACAAGATAATTATTTATAGGTATAAGTTAATGTATTCTTTTTTTTAAATTTTTTTTTAATTTTTTTTTTTTTAAATCAATATTTTAATTTTTTTTTTTTAAATATATATTTTAATTTTTTTTAAAAAATATATATATTTATTTTTTTATTTTTATTTTTATTTATTATTTTTTTTGTTATTTTTTTATTTTTTTTTATTTTCTTTTTTTTTGTTAATATTCATATTAATTTTAGTTCTCAAGATGCAAACATCTCAAAAAAATTTGGTGATACAATTAGCAAGTTCACTTACCTGTGTTGCCAATCAAGAGAAGTACAAAGTGAAGATTATAAAGAATCTAACTATAAGCAATATGTATGCTATAACTATAAAGATAAAATCTCAATACAGATCAATACAATTTTCAGTATTGCAAAAGTGAATATTTATTATAAATCTTTTCATCAATATCTAAATCTTTGTACTAAAATACCAGATGATTTATGAGAAGTGATTAGTAAGTTTGCTCAGCTTATTACAGCTTAATTAACAAGCTATCTATGATATAAAGAGTTTGATCTTTCAAGTTATTCATATAAGTGTATATACTATTGGAAGACTAAAGCTAATAAGAATGTATACTAGTATCATAATAATCAAGTCAAATCTTTACACAGGCTGCTTGATGAGTATATAAATCAGAGTTTCTATAAGGTCTAGATCTACAAGATTTAGAATCTATAGCTATTGCTTTTATTATCTTGTTGCTAGAGAAAATCAATAATTTCAATATTCAAGTTAATGAGATTTATATAAATACAATATATAGAACTGTATATGAACATTATGAGCTTTAAAGCATTGTTGCTGATGTTGATAGTATAAGTTTTTCTATTGTTTACCTTATAATAGATACAATCAAGACCAAAGATACAAATATCAGTACAGAAAAATATAGTATTATATTAGAAGACTTTCTAGTAGTTATTAAAGTAAATAAAATAATTTAGTTAATAAAATTTTGTTTATTAATAAGTATTTTAATTTTTTTTTTTTTAAGTTGCATAATGTAAACCCAAAATTTGTTTTTACTAATAAAGATTTTATAAAAATAAATGTGGTATCCAAAGTGTTGAGTAATTTAGTTATCCAATTGTATATCTAACATATGTTTCAGGCTATAAAGCATAAACTTAAGGAGAAAGCAAAATCATCAAACAATTCCAGATTAATAACTATAAATTATAATACTAGTCAAGTAGCCAATAAATACAATTTTAATAAATACACTTTTTACCCAACTAAAGAAGATTATAATTCACAATCATATATAATTTGTTTTTTCAATTTTATGAAAAAAATTTAAAGCTAATATAGAAGCACTTTACATATATCTATTAATACTTGTAGATGAATAGGGAAATACAATGAATTTAGAAGCTATTAGAAAAAGTGCTATAAAAGAAATATATATGTTTTGTATTAAATATGAATTATGGTTAGTATTTAATAATACAAGATTAGATATAGATATATTAGAACTTTTACTAACTATTGTAGTAATACAAGAAATTTAAATATGGTTGTAATAGTCTTTTTAGTAAAAAATTTGGTTATTGTAATAGTAAGCTATATGGTAATAAAAGTAATTTAAATATAGTTTTTATTAGGTTTATATTAGAAATTTTTTGATTTTTTTTTTTTTTTGAATACTTAATAACTTTCTTAAACTTTTAATTTTCTTTTAGATTACTTTAAGCCTATCTTTGGACTAATTGGTACTTATCACAATGATGGATCTTTGGGCATGGTCTACCAAACCAGTAATACTATATAAAAAAACTATGATGAAGATTGAAGCATATTGAAGTGCTATTAAATAACATTATTTATAGTATTTTAATCAACCTAGACTAGATCTTCTACTGTAAATGCTTCTCAAAGTAGTAGTGCTAGCATAAGTAAACTGACTTTCTCAAATTCTGGATAGTATTATAAAACTATGTTGGTGAGAAGATATCAAGAAAGAGTGGATCTATACAAGTGTGAGTGATAAAAAAAAGCAAAAATATATAGTAATAAAAGAAAATTGAGTATTGATAAAGAGATTCAAATAGTTTATACTTCACTGAAGTTGCACAATAAGTCTGTAGCTGTTTAACATTTTTTAGGAATTGTTTTTTGTTGTGTAAGCATTTAGTCAGCCAAACTGTAAATATACCTAGTAGAAAAAGACAATGTTTACTTAATTGTGGGTTTAAACATCATTTCATGTCACCATTCCTTATTCTAAATGATTTTGATGTCAATGATATATCATAAGAGGCTCAACCTGTTGTTCAGGTTGCTGAAACCCATGTTGTTGATAGTTTTCCTAATAGTTATAATGCTAATGCAGATGAAGATCCAGAAGAGAAGGCTCATGCTTATGTAGAATTGAATTGGGAATTATTTAAACAGGCATTTAATCAAATCTGCTCAAAAAAAGCTGTTAATAGTTGGCAACATGTTAGTGCTATGATTAAATTGGTACCAATGAAAAAAGATATACAAAAAGCAGAATAGCAAATACATCGACAAGCAACTTGGACACTAGAAAATTCCCATATCTCATGTACTTATCATGTCCAGAAGAGCCAAGTTTAGTAGACGTGGTGATTTATGAAATTGTAGTTAGTAGTCATGAAGATAATAGTATTGACAAGTAAAAAATGACTAAAATCCTTACATATACTGTATCTTACTCATAAGATCAAGTGTCTAGTTTAGAATAATGTCTAATAAAAATTATTAAAAGAAAAATTATTAAATTCATATTTTTTTTGTTTAATTCAACTACATTGTGCTCCAAATAGTTTAAAAATTGAAACCAACCGAACTTTGGGCCGCTAAATTTTTTAAATTTTTAACACAGACTTTCAATAATAAATACAGTACTCAAAAATCTTGATTATCTGATAAAACGATTGCTGCGGCTGAAGTGGCAGCGTGTCGATCATCTACCATAGTGTTGGGGGCCGCCCTGTCGAACTCAGCCAAGAAGACTTATCTGAATCCGGCAACATTATTCCAAGACCCGAAAGACCTTGAATCTCGGACCAAATCTTTCCACGCCCTCTTTTCGCCTACCAACTCAAGGTTTTAGGCGTCTTGAAGCGAGAGATTGGATTGTTTGGTTGTTTAGATTGGTGTTTTAGTTAGTTTTTTAAAGATAGAATAATTAGTCACCACTTTCTTAATGTACGTAATAAAATAACGATTTCGAAGATCTCGTGCATGTGCAAAAAGGATGCAGATCATCGTACTTTTTAGTATCACATATTAAGGCATCCAATCATAACAGATAATCAAGATTTTGTGGACGAACGCAAAACTCGTACACTACGTTCCCGGTATGTTCCACTACGTTCCTGGTACTTCCATTTTGGGCTTTTGTTAAATTACGTATATACCGATACGTACTACCAAATACCTTGAGTCTCTACTATATAAGGAAATGTCAACAAAGAAAAGAAAGTTGCTGCAGGAAGTGAATAGGAGGACGAAAATAATAACAATATAGAAGATCTTGTATAGAAATAGGTAGGTTGTATGCCAGCTAGAAGATAATTGATGGGTAATAGCCATTAGTTAGATTCTAAAAATAGCAAAGATACAACTAAATTGCTAGGGTGGGTGTCATTAAGTAATTAGTGTAGCACAACCCAAACACTGTAATACTAATTGTAATAAGTTCTAAGATCTTAATTAATCAATAAAATTTATAAGCGTATAAGCAATTTAAAAAATAAAAATAAAAAAAAAAAATTAAGAAAGGTATATCTAATTTGATACATCTAATTTTGTTTAAAGCAAAACTTTATAAATTTGTATAAAAGCATACAAGTTTTTACTAAAATTGATATATTTCAATTTAAAATAAGTTTTTATTTAAAAAAACAAGTTCTTATTCTAGCTATGTAAACTTTCAAAAAATTAAAATTATTAGAAAATCGCTCTGATTTGATATACTATATTTAAAATTGATGATTTTTAGATTTTTGCATTTTTATCTTTTTTTTATATCCTTAATATGCTGTTTTTTTACTTTAGCATGTTCTAAATCCTTTTTTTTCTTTTGTGCCTCCTGCTTCTATATCTTTTCAGCCTCATGTGCTACCTATTTTTGGTTAGTTTTTTCTTTTTTATGCTATTTTTTATTGGCTACTTTTTTTGCCTTCTCTTCTGCTTCTCTTAGTTGGTTTAATAAATCTTCATTTGTTAGAAAGCAAGAGAAGAGCATGGTTTTTCTTTCTTTTTTTTTTGGAGACAAAGATCTAGATTTCTTTTTATCAATCTCTAGGTCTTTAGTTTGTAAATTTTGATACAGGGGATACTTAAGTATCAATAACAAAGGATTTGTACTAGGGTTTTTAGTAACTTCAAGCTCTTCTTCTAGTTGCTTAACTTTTTTCTTTAATAAACTAATTTCTGATATTAGTTTTTTTTTTTGTAGAGTTAGCTTTGATAAGACATATATGACTTGGGGCCAGCTTTGGAGTTTGTAAAGATAAAGATTGCAATAGAAATTGTGAAGATAAAAACAATAACAAAGATTGTGAAAAAGATGATAATGAGAAAGGTAAAGAATATTGTGATGAAAATGATGATAATGAAGTTAAAAAAGTTTGTGAAAAAGATGATAACAATGATAGTGGATCAGAAATTTGTAGAAGGTTTGTATATTCTATTGCTAATGAAAATTTTAGATAGTAGGGCCAATTGCACTAGGGTTGAAGAGCCAAATTCCCATAGTATTAAAGAAGTTGCATATTGTAACAGGTATATAGATTGCAATATAAGAGTGTCTTATAACTTTAGTGAATATGTACTTCATTATAAGCTTACTATCATTATTAATCTAATATCTTTTACACTCTTCAATTTTTAGTGCTAAAAATGGTAGTTCAGCTAGCTGTAAAACATAGATAGTGAGGGAAGAGAGCATAAAGAAGGATATTGTTCTTATATTAAAGTTAATACTAGTATAATTAATGTGGCTTTTGTAACTATCTAGAATCAACAAAACAGAATGTATTAGAAAAATAGATCTAACAAAATGCTTGATGTATTTCTAAAATAGGCTTTCCTGCATATATTTTGTCTTAGTAAACCCTATAACAGAACTAGCAGGAGCATCATTTAAAAGACCTGTGATTGTTTGTTTTTTTTTGAAGATGAACAATGATGGGACATACATCTTGGTAGCTAATATTGTTGGGCATAATAAAATATGCTTGTTAAAGTTGTTGTATAAAACCTGATAAATCTGATGTACTCTCTTTCTTGCTATAACTTTTTGAAGCCTAGGTATGATAATAAATTCTGTTTCATTCTAGATAAAAAAAGACAAAAAAAATAAATAAATAAATAAAATAAAATAGAATATAAAAAAAAAGACTATGTTTCAAATTTTGCCTGCAGTAAGTAAGTATTTTTGGATGATTTTTTCAAGTTTGCTAAAATGATTATTGATGATGATAGAGTTTGCTTCTTGTATACAAGCTTTATTTGGGGCTTTCAAAACATAAAACAAAAGTTTGGATAGTCTTTCATGAAACATTGCCACTATTTTTGTCCTGAGCCATTTTTCTAAAAAGATTAGATCTTTTGTTTTGACAAACAATATCTATTGTGCACTGGCTTACTCTAGTTTTTGTTAACCCAAATCCAAGTCTCTGCATGTTCAAACAGTTATTAACTAGTTGTTATTTCTTATAGTTGGTTAGAACCGTAGCATAACCTGAGCAAGTAAGAGGGTTATCATTTTTGATTGCATGTCTAAGAGTAGCTTCTGAAAGACTATAATCTTGTACAACACATCTGATACTTGAAATTTTAGAATTATTTGAGAGTTTTTAATTGCCTTAAAAATATTATTAATGCTATTATATTGGGTATTGTGATTACTATACTTTGTTATAATTTTATTTTAAAAAATTAAAAAATTTTATATTTATTTTTCTTGTATTACAGAATAAAAAAATTTATTTATTTAGAACAATTAGTGCAATATTTTTACTATATTTGTGGTATTATATAGACTAATTTGTATACATTATACAATTAAAAACTATTTTAATAAATTAGTTTTAATCTCACATGTTTTTTGTACTCTAAGATTGCACAATTGGCTGTTTTTGTAAATTGTGTTTTCTTTTATTATTATTAATATTAACTTTTGCACATGTAAATAAATTAGTATGCCTGAAATTTAGTTATTAGATACAGTAATAGCAAATTTTTATAGTAGTTACCTGAATTAAAAACTATAACAGCTATTCAAATTTGCATCTTTTAAATACATCAGACTAAATATACTTTACTAAAAAAAATAATAATAATAAAAAAGAAAAAAAAATAATTTGAATTTTATCAATAAAAATTACTTGATGAAGAGCCCAATTTCAGCATGTTATAGTTACTTCTTGCTAGAGCTTTGGGTGAAAAAATTAATATAAATTAAAATATCTCTTATTTTTGTAATCAGAATTACATAATTTTGGTACCATTCGACTCATCTCAATAAAATGAGTCAAATGGTACCAATATCACATTATTCTGATTACTAGAATATAAGATACTAACAATATATCAAATTAAGCATTGTATTAAATTAAACATACTTCTCTTACATAATGATTTTTAAAAATATACTTAATCTTGAAATTTTGAGCAAAATTCTAAAACTAAGTATTTTTTTTTTAAATATTTAAAAAAAATATGCTTAATAATCTGATTGTAGATTATTTTTTAATTGTATTTACTTATTTGTATAATTTAATACAATTGGCAATTATTCTGATTTTTTAATTAGTATACTATCAGTAATAATCAGATTGATAATCAATAAAATAAAAACTTATTTAATCAGAATTTTACTGATTGTAATATATTTTTTAATATAAAACAATCAGAATTTAGATTAATAAACTAATTCAAATAGGCTGTTCTATTGTAGCCTATTTTATTCTGATTCTCGCCATTATCTGACTGCAATAGGCAATAAATAATATAATTAAATATTCTCAAATCAGTATTTTACCAGTTTACAATAAGAATGCCTATTTGTATTTATTTATAAATCTTTAGACAATTAGTAATTATACTAGTTGGACATTTTTTTACTTGTGCTTGTTGGGGCTATTAATAATAAGATAGAGTGTTGAAAAATATTGATAGTAGACCAAAGATTGTTTTGTAGTTGTTGAAGATGAATATGAGTGGTATACCAAGGGTGAAAGAATTGTTAATATAGTTTAAGAAGTTACTAATATGATATTGAAGTTGAATATCCCAAATATTATGAATATTGTAAAGATTGTAGTTAAGAAGAATACTGTTGAGAGTAAAGCAAAAAAAATATGCTTTGTGCTTAGCTATAGTGAGTTATTTTACAAGAATCTTGTTGCATATAGATAGAAAAATTACAATATTGTGAAGTTAATATTTGATAGTTGAGATAATAATAGTATTGATAATAAAGATTATTTGTTTGTTAGTTATATTTTTAGTACTAGCAATATTAGCAAGTTAAATAGCTTTATCTTGAATAAGTTTGATTTGTAAAGCTTGTTTGTTGTTAAGAGTAAACTAGCAGCCCAAAAATTTAAAAGATTGCTAAGGTGAGATAGAATAAAAAGTAAAGTTGAGAAATGTAATATTAGCAAAGCTTTGTTTAATAATAAATATAGATTTAGTAGAGTTGACTTGAATATTAGCTATTGAATAGAAAGAAGAAATGATATTAGTAATTTCTTCTAGTTGTGATTTAGATTGTGCAATCTATAGAGTATAATTTATATAAGCAAGAACAAATATAAAGGTGCTAAGGTGGTTGAAGGAAAAATTAATAAAACTAGTTTATCAGAAAGTGTATAACCTAAGAAATATGAGAAGATATATAAAATAAGAGAGTTATAGTAAATTTTCTAAAAAAGAGGTATGATTGTTTCTTCTTAGTTAATACTATTTTTAACAAAGTAAAAGTTGTAAGCCCAAGGTTGGTAATAATATAATTAGTAAGATTAAATAGTAAATTAGTTAAAATGTTAATAAGTTGCTAAGATATCTAAATATGGTGTAGTAATTTTTAAAAGAGTTCAAAGTTAACAGAGTTATAGGCCTTGATTATATCTTGAGAAAGAAGCCAAAGTTGATTAGAATTGCAGTTGGCATCCTTAATAATATTGTTAAGAATATGAATAGTAATGGAAGTAAAATTGTCAGAAAGTGCAACAAAGTTGAAGTGTAACAAAATATTATATTAAAAAAAGTAAAATAAAGTATTAGTAAGAAGTTTGGTATATAGCTTTTTGATATGTTTGATCAAACTAATAAATTTGGTGTTAGAAAGGTTGCTATCAAAAATAGGTTTTTTGAAGATAAAAAAGATACAGCCTTCTTTCTATTGTTTGGATATAGTTTAGATAAAGAGATAGTGATTAAAGAGTATAGTTATTAAAGTAATAAATTTGAAATCTGCATGTTTAAATATTTTATAGCTAATACCTAATAGACTACACATATCCACCGATTTGATTTTTAGGGGTCTTTTTTCGATAAAACATTACACAAACTTCTGCTTAAGTAACGTGAAGAATAATGAAAGAACCTTCAAATAAAATAGTTTTTTGACCTCTACATGAGATAAATAAGCAATAAATATTCAAAGAACAGCTACACCAAGCTGTAAAGGAAGCACTATCACTAGTTGTTTGAAGCGTTCGGGTATTTTCGGGTAGTGAAGGATTGGTTTGCCATTGAACGATTGGTTGTATAATGGGTAAGGGTAAATTCGGAAGCAATTTTCAGAAAAACTACCTTTTTAACTTACTTTTAGCTAATAATTAATCATGTAGATATTAAAATATTCTATACACTTTATTATGGATTAAAAGTAAGTTTAAAAGACCGTTGTTGTAAAAATTCACTTTGTAATAAATTTTAATAGCAAATAATTCTCGATCATGATTGGCTAATTTTGGGGTAAAACCAAATCGGTAGATATGAAGCTTTGTTGTTGGAAAGTTAACTAATTGTAAAAGTAATTTCTTCTTCAGCAAAGGCTAAGAGGATATTAGAGTACTAGGTGGAGTTGATATTAGTTTTAGAGTTGTATTCAGATTGTCATTGAGAATTGAATAAGTTAGAGTTAATATGATGAGAAGTAGTCCAATTATTAAAGTATTATTGAATATAGAATTTGATAGTAAAAGGGTTAGTAATAATATTATTGTCTAGCTATATATTGTTAAACTTGACAGAGTCTTTGTATTAGTTAAGAATGCTATTTATTATTAAGATAGGATTAGTTTGTAGTTTAAAGTATCTTTTATCAATAGAGTTTGATATTTGTTATTAAATTTCTTTAGGTTGTAAGCATAAAAGAGTTTTTCTACTCTGTATTGGCATTAGTAATCTAGGGGATAAAAAGTTAATGTATGTGGTAAGAAAGAAATGTTTAAATTGGAATATTGATTAAGTGAGGTAATAGAGAGGTTGAGATAGAAAGAAATAGGAAAAAATGCCTAAAAGCATGTTTGTATATCTAATTATATTTCTAAGTTTTTTGTAATTGGAGTGTAAATAAGTAGTCTTGAAGAAGAATGTGTATTGGAAGTTTCAGACTATAAATTTTTTGTTAAGAATATATTGTAATACAGATATAATAGTACTGATATAGATTTTGTGCCAGGTAGTTTCAAGAGATT